TTTGAGCCATACGAATTTAGGAGAAGAGTTGTAACATAGAAAAGCAATAAACCAAAGCAATTAAAAGTAAAGAAGAATGTGCAGAAAAATAGATCAATGAATGCAATGTGAGATTAGAAATGGATTGAAAGGTAGTTAGGAATTTACTTCACAAGAATATCAGTATTAATTCAATTATGCCTTTGAACATTCAAGAACTTGGTTAATTGACAATCAGTTTCGTATAGCAATAGCCAAAGGTTAATTCCTTAACTCATTGACCCTAACAAGCAACTAAACCACCCTAATCCCTTAGGTGAAGTTCAATTTCAAGTTGCATTAATACTTAGAACCTAAAGATTGCAGAATTAGGTCTCCTTATCCCTAAGAAATCCCTAACTTCTGATTGCTAACTCAGATCGGAGAAGCAAATCCAACTTCCATTGGTAATTGTTCCTCTAAGATGAATCAAACGAATTTCCATTCATAGATTGCAAGAAAAACAGAATTCACAATTCAATTAATCCAAGAACTCAAAATCCAGAAACAAGAGTCAAATCAATACATCAATTCGAGTTCCATAAACCCCTAACTACAAGAAAACTACTCAGACATGGGAGAAGAGAAAGAGAAAGAAGAAGAAGAAGAAAAACTCCAAGAAGTCATGGCCAGAAGCTCCAATCCGATTCCTCTTTGTGGAAGCTTCAAGACTTGACCCCAATCTTCTCTCTCAATCTCTCTCAACGAGATCTAACAGAAAAACGGAAAAATAAAACTGAACTCTGAAAAATCTGCACGTTTCTGTTATTTATACAATTTTTCAGATTTGCACGTTATCACTTTTATGAGAAATAGTAGCCACGCAGAAGGTTTATGGTTGCGCGTTAACACTTTTATGAGAAAAAGTGACCACGCGCAACTTTCCTGATATTGAAGGCTCTCTGGAACTATCACTCTTACTGATAAAAGTGACTACGCAGAGGTCAAGTGGTTGCGCGTGATCACTCTTATGAATAAAAGTGATTACGCGCAACTCGCCAGGTTGATGGTTCTCTGGAACGTTCACTTTCGCTGATAATAGTGATCACGCAGAGCTTTTCTTGATATTTGCCTCTCTGGAACGCTCACTTTTACTGATAAAAGTGATAACGCCCAACATGTTGAGTCTGAGACTTCATAGGATCTCTCACTTTTCCTAGCAAAAGTGATAACGCCCAAGCTTTCTTCTTCTTTGAACTCTGGAGTGATCACTTTTACTGACAATAGTGATCACGCCCAGTCTGCACTTTCTTGGTCTTGTGTTTTTGGAGTCCAGACTTGCTTCTTTCTTCTTCCTTGTCTTCAAGCCTCCATTTCCATGATCTTTGCTCAATTTATTCCTTCAAAAACAAGATTAAAAACTTAATTTCTAAGCAAAATTTCTACAATTGCTAAAATAACTACATATGTAAACAAACTTCAATTCCTTCTTTTTTTTCTGAGTTTTCTGCTTTCTTCATATATTTTTCTTATTAATTGTGTTAGAATTATGCTAAAATATCAGTAAAAATATGGATTCATCACTACCCCAAACTTGAATTTTTGCTTGTCCTCAAGCAAATCAAATTAAACCAAGGGTAAGTTCCTCCATTTTCAAATTCAATTAGCAAGCTGCTTTTCTCAGATTTTCCAATTTCCAATTCTGTGTTTTCTGAAAAAATTTCAATCAAGTTGTTCATCCAATACTCATCATGATATTCCTACTGCATAATCATCATTGAGTAAGAATTGCTATCTAAGTTTATATATTTCATCAAAATTCATGTGAGTACAATTAATCAACATGATCACAGCTCACTTGGAAGTGTTTCTCTCATCACTCAACAGTGTTTAGGTGTTGTTTTCACTCTAAATCATCAATTTCACTGCACTCTACCATATGCTTGCCCATATTCTCAATCTCCTCTGCCTAATACATGTAATCACACATCTAGAGGACTTTTTCAGGTTATAACAAGGCTAAGATTAAGGTAGGTATTAAAGAAAATGGAAAACAATACATGCAATTTCAAAAGATCAGAGGCATTTTGAGTGATTTGTTTTAAAACTAGCCTGGATCTGCATTATTCCTCCTTAATTCTCTCACTTATGCAGCAAACAAATTTTTTCTTGCAGCAAAATTTTCATCTCTTTTCTTCTTTCCTTGCTTTCAATCACTATCTTCTTTTCGTTGATATTCTTTTTCTTTTTCTGCAGCACTTTGCTGCACTTCTTTTCTTTTGAACTCACATTTTTGTTCTTTTCACAGCTTTGCTTCATAAATTTTTCATTTTGCTGCAGCATTTTTGTTCTTTCTTTCTGGCTTGTTGAACTCAACTTAGATAGCATGCTATTTCCCACCCCAAACTTAGAACATTGCTTGTCCTCAAGCAATTAAAATCTAGATGCCACCCCAAACTTAGTTTTAAAACTCATTCTTGATTAAACTCATTATGCCTCTGATTAATTGAATGGTAAAAATTAGTTTTTCAGCAAGGCTTATAATGAGGTAATTTCAAGAAAAGGGATATTAAGCTCAAAAGGGTGAACTAAGACATTCAATCATAAAGGAAGATATTTAGGCTGACTAGGTATAATCAAACATGGCCTCCATCATATATGTGAAAACTGTAAATTGCATATTCAACCAAGAAACAAGACAAGTTCTAGAGAATGCAGCAAAATATGATCAATCACACATAAAAAGAAGGATGCAGCTCAAGTCTCACTAGGGATTTGCAAGTGACATGCTAATCAATGAACTCACAATTCACTTTTCAGAATTATATGGACCTAGTGGCAAGACTGCCTCATTTTGAAAATACAAATGTGATTTCATTTTGAGAATGGGAAAAACAACTTAAAAAGAACAATTTCAAACCGAATTCACAGAATTATCAATTAGCTTCATTTGATTCACAACCAGCAATTTAATATCTTATTCTAATATTTTGGTGTTTTCCAGAAATAATTTTAGTGTAATGTGAAGCTAACACATGAACAAGAGGTAGAGAATAAAACCCCCCTTTCATGGAAGCTTGTGCAAGTGTCATCATCCATTGTGTGTGAGTGCTGTGTGAAAGTGACAACTTCTGCACAAAACACCAAAAATTTATCAATTAGTAAGTAAAAAGGCAATTAATTGGAAAACTAGTAGATATTCAAAACAAAAATGTGAAATTTAAACCACAATGTACCAAATTGTAATTACATCCCCAAAGGTATGATATTTAATTACAACTATCTACACAAATTCTAAATGACAAAAATTTTAAAAGTCCTAAGCTATTCATCTGCTTCATCTTCATCTAAGGTTTCTTCTTCTTCTTCTTCTTCTCCACTTCAGCTGGCTATGGGAAATGAGTTTTATAGATTGGCAGGTTTTTTTAAAAACTGAGGAGCGCAGGCACTGAGCATTTTCTGCCAAATCTGGAGTATACTACATCTTATCCTTGGTTATTCCCATTTTCTGACCAACGTTCAGCAGAACACACTCTAGCAGCATGATTACAGCTTTGACACTGCTATGGAGTTCATTCTGCCTCTCAGCCAGCTGGTTTTGTCTTTCAGCCATCGAATTTAGAGTGTCCTTCATCTTTATTGGCTTGTGTTTCTTGAATTGAGAGGGGATGGTGGCTGCTGAGGTGCAGGAGGTGGTGGCATAGATCTCTTTCACCATGAATACAGAAATAGAGGGAACAAATCTGATCCTCTCTTGATAGTCTCCAAACTCTACCCCCTTTTTACTGCCAGTGTTGAGTTGTGCTTGACTAACATAAAAGAATTCAGAATGAATGTGCTCCAAACTTTGGCAAATGGTAACAACTATTTGGTAACAATGCATTTTTTTTAGCTCCCAAGAGGTAGGTATTTGCATAGAATTCCTGGGCTATTTCCCTCCATCCTTGGCCAGCTACTAAACAGAAGAATTCCCAGCTCCTCTTTTAAAATTCTTCTGTGAATTCTGGATAATTATCCCCAACTATCTGAAAGGCTCTGTCTGGGACAATTTTCCTTCTCAGGATATTGGCTCATATGTTCTGGCCTTCTTTGTTGTTAGAGTATTTCTGGTTGATCCAGCTTGGATGTTTCTGCTGGATCTCCTTCTTGGAGTGTTGCTAGCAGATCCAACCTGGTTCTTCCTGGAGGAGCCAACTGGTGTATTCATAGAGGTTCTGGCCATTTTTCAGTTTCTTGAGAGAAAGTGCAGAGAAATGAGGGAATGGGTAGCTGTTGCTAAGTTGACACCAGAGAGGAAATGAGAGCGTAGAGGAAACTCAGAAAGAAAAATGATTTAAGGGTAAAATGTATGCGTGTTCACTTTCTTTTTCATTTAAGGTCACGCATGGCCTGTGCTTATTTTTAAGAATAAAAGTGATCGTTATGTTGATAAAAAAAAAATCTCAACGTTATCACTTTTATTCATAAGAGTGAACATTCCAGAGAGTGTATTTTTCAGAGTAAGGGGCACGTTATCACTATTGCTGGAAAAAGTGATAACGCGCAGCTATGTTGCAACTTTTGTTAATAAAAGTAATAACGCACAGAGGTCCAGGTTATACTTACTTGTGCGTAGTCACTTTTGCCAATAAGAGGAAGCATTCTTGAACTGATGTTTCCCCATCTGCCTCTGTGTGATCACTCTTATCAGTAAAAGTGATTGTTCTAGAGGATTACCTCAAAATTCACTCTTTGTGTAGCTCATTCCCTGCAACATAGTGACTCGTTTCATTAATCAAACTTCTCTAAAATCTCAATTAGCTTACTTCTCACACTCTAATCCTTTCAATTTACTCTCACAACATCAAACCTCTAACCACTTATCAAATTCACCTCAGAAAACCAGATGCAACAGAATGTAATTGCAGAAATTATAAAACATGAATATGCAGAATTCTAAAATTCAGAATTAACCAAAATTTAAAATTCCTAATCTGTATTCTAACAAAAGTTAAAGATCAGAAATTTAAAAGGGAATAGAGAAAAAAAAAATCCTAAAGTATCTATGTGGTTATGCTGAGGAAAATGGATGTTCCAGCAATTATAACAATCCTTGCAGACCCTTTAAGCTTGTGCTTAACCTCATTTTTAGCCTCAGAGTGGAAGTTCCAGCAAAAGACTAGTTTCACTGTCAAGAGCAATTGCAAAGCAATCAGAAACTCAGATCATGCAGAAAATTAAAACTAAAAACAGAAATTGAAAAGAAATGAAAGGAAAAAAAAAGTGTGAGTTGCCTCTCACAAAGCGCTCTTTTAACGTCACTAGCTTGACGTTATTGATCTTTGATTCTAAGAGATGATTTTGCAGATAATGGCTCTTGCTCTATACTTACACATTTCCCCTTTTTCTTATCAACTTGCAGCTTTTCGTTTAATTCAGAACATGGTTGAAATAATAGTGGAGGAAGTTCTAGCAACTTGATATACTTATTAATTTTCTTTCCCTCCTTTTCATTGTCTTTATATGTTACTGCAGCAAGTATTTCTCTTGTAACAGAATCATCCTTCTGTTTTTCCTGCTTGAAATTCTGCACTCTTTGAAGAAATCGAAACTTCTTGTGTTTAGCTTCATCTATTGGCTCAGGTTCATCTTCAAACAAACGGTTTTTGTTTTTTTTTTGTTGTGTCTTGCTGATGTCCTTTGGTTCTTCTTTCTTTAAAATCGTTAACTGCTCTTCCTTGCAATCCTCTTGTTGCTTATCTTGAATCTTTTTTTCTTCAGATTTATCTAATGCCTCATCTTTCTCAGCAGCTTTATGACTTGAAACTTCCACTTCACTCCTTGTACAGACAACTTGGCTTTGCTCTATTGGATTTACAATGGTATTGTTAGGTGATTTTTCATCATTCCTATTTAACAATTGCTCTGAAATTTGTCCTATGTGCTTCTCCATCTTCTTCATGGATGTATTTTGATTCTTAAAACTTGACTGAGTAAATTCCATGAATTGGAGCAAAGTTTCTTCAAGTTCATTCATTCTTTTTGGAAAAGTCTTTGAAGGCTGCAGTCCTCCTTGAGGTTGAGAATATGACACTTGAAAGTAAGGTTGTGAAGAATGAGGACTTGAGCAAGGTGTTGTTGCAGCTGACATTTGTTGATTCCAATCATAATATGACCGACTCATGTTAGTTTGATATTGATATTCATGAGGAAAGTTATATTCAGATCTTTGAAAATTTCCTCCAAAATTGATTTCTTCTTGAAATTCTGGTGCAGCCACATCATATGTTTCATTCAAATCATTTTCACTGTAAAAATCACACACCAATGGGTTAGTTTGGACAACTCTAGCTTGAAAATTATTAATCAAAGCATTAAGAGTATCTGGTTCATAAGCTTCTGTTCTTGCAACTTGGCTTTGATAAAAATTCTGATACATGATGGTTGCCATCAAATAATAGAGCAACTTATTTTTTTGGTTTTTCCTTGCATACAAAAAGAAAGAAAACAAAAGTCTAATCAAATTTGTAACTAGGAAAAATGAAATATGAAATTATGCAGAAAATTACAAAACATAACATGCAACAAATATAGAAATTTATGGAGAAAATAAAAAAAAACAAGATTATGCAGAAAAATGCAAAAGAAAACAGAAAAGCTACAAAACAAAATATGTAGAAAACACAGAAACTTATGCAGAACAAAAATTAAAATTATGCACAAGAATGAAAAACAAAATTATGCAGAAAATACAGTGTTAATTCTATCAGAATCAGAAATTCATGAATGCAGAAAACATAGAAATTATGCAGAATGAAGTTTACAATTATGCAGAAACATGAAAAACGAGATTATGTAGAGAATGCAAAAACTTTATGCAAATGACAGTAGAACTTATGCAGAAATCTACACAAGATGCAGAGAAATTATGTAGAAAAACATGAAAGCAGAACAACAACAAAAATAAATGCTCAATCTAGCTACTTTTCTGCTACTAATGATATTAAAATTCAAAATTCCCCGGCAACGGCGCCAAAAACTTGTTGTTAGCAATCTAAACACTAGCAAGTACACTAGTATTACAGCAAGTAATGAGTAATTTTTAAGAACAGGATATCGTCTCCACAGGGAATTTAGATTTCAAGTATCAATTCATAAAATTGTAACCATTTGAGCCATACGAATTTAGGAGAAGAGTTGTAACATACAAAAGCAATAAACCAAAGCAATTAATAGTAAAGAAGAATGTGCAGAAAAACAGATCAATGAATGCAATGTGAGATTAGAAATGGATTGAAAGGTAGTTAGGAATTTACTTCATAAGAATATCAGTATTAATTCAATTATGCCTTTGAACATTCAAGAACTTGGTTAATTGACAATCAGTTTCGCATAGCAATAGCCAAAGGTTAATTCCTTAACTCATTGACCCTAACAAGCAACTAAACCACCCTAATCCCTTAGGTGAAGTTCAATTTCAAGTTGCATTAATACTTAGAACCTTAAGATTGCAGAATTAGGTCTCCTTATCCCTAAGAAATCCCTAACTTCTGATTGCTAACTCAGATCGGAGAAGCAAATCCAACTTCCATTGGTAATTGTTCCTCTAAGATGAATCAAACGAATTTCCATTCATAGATTGCAAGAAAAACAGAATTCACAATTCAATTAATCCAAGAACTCAAAATCCAGAAACAAGAGTCAAATCAATACATCAATTCGAGTTCCATAAACCCCTAACTACAAGAAAACTACTCAGACATGGGAGAAGAGAAAGAGAAAGAAGAAGAAGAAGAAAAACTCCAAGAAGTCATGGCCAGAAGCTCCAATCCGATTCCTCTTTGTGGAAGCTTCAAGACTTGACCCCAATCTTCTCTCTCAATCTCTCTCAACGAGATCTAACAGAAAAACCGAAAAATAAAACTGAACTCTGAAAAATCTGCACGTTTCTGTTATTTATACAATTTTTCAGATTTGCACGTTATCACTTTTATGAGAAATAGTAGCCACGCAGAAGGTTTATGGTTGCGCGTTAACACTTTTATGAGAAAAAGTGACCACGCGCAACTTTCCTGATATTGAAGGCTCTCTGGAACTATCACTCTTGCTGATAAAAGTGACTACGCAGAGGTCAAGTGGTTGCGCGTGATCACTCTTATGAATAAAAGTGATTACGCGCAACTCGCCAGGTTGATGGTTCTCTGGAACGTTCACTTTCGCTGATAATAGTGATCACGCAGAGCTTTTCTTGATATTTGCCTCTCTGGAACGCTCACTTTTACTGATAAAAGTGATAACGCCCAACATGTTGAGTCTGAGACTTCATAGGATCTCTCACTTTTCCTAGCAAAAGTGATAACGCCCAAGCTTTCTTCTTCTTTGAACTCTGGAGTGATCACTTTTACTGACAATAGTGATCACGCCCAGTCTGCACTTTCTTGGTCTTGTGTTTTTGGAGTCCAGACTTGCTTCTTTCTTCTTCCTTGTCTTCAAGCCTCCATTTCCATGATCCTTGCTCAATTTATTCCTTCGAAAACAAGATTAAAAACTTAATTTCTAAGCAAAATTTCTACAATTGCTAAAATAACTACATATGTAAACAAACTTCAATTCCTTCTTTTTTTTCTGAGTTTTCTGCTTTCTTCATATATTTTTCTTATTAATTGTGTTAGAATTATGCTAAAATATCAGTAAAAATATGGATTCATCAATAATACATGCTAAAATATTAATGCTTTGAATAAATTTAATAGATTGAAACAACAACTAACATCAATTATGCATTTAAGTTCACCTTTGGCCAGTACCTAAATTCATAATTAAATCTATAATAATGCTAGAACTAACATGGTTTAATAGACAAATAGTCACACTCAAGATGACATGCATGTTATCTTTAGATATACAAACACATTATTAAGTGCCTACATGTCTCTTTAATGTCATTAATAAACTTGTGTATTTAATCACTTTGATGATTAAAATTTCTCTAATATAATTCTAAATCGATCTTTAAAATTTTATAAAATTTGTTCTACAATTTTTCGTGAAGCATGGTTGTGCTACTCCTCAAACAATCATGCTACGAAGCACAATAATGCTTCCCTTTAAGCACGATTGTGCCAATTTTAAGCACAATTATGCAACTTTTAAGCATGGTTGTGCTATCCTTCAAGCATGACCACACATACCCAAAATGTGTGAATAAGCATAAGTGTGCAAGAAGTTCAGATTACAAACCGTCATCAACATCCTTTTATGGATTTGCAAACAAAAGTTCATAGCGTCTAAAACCTTAGGGTTTATTTTAATAGAACCCTAAACTATTATATGATTATAAGATAACATGCATCAATCCTACAATGATCATGACTAGCCCTAATCTTCATAATTTTCTTCCTATGGTTCGTGAAAATTAGAGAAATTTTTCATGGAGAACTAATCTTTTATGGAGGATCACAAAATTCACAACCTAGAGCTCTGATACCAACTATTTGGTTTTTTAGTAATTTCTATCTTTGATTTTTTTTTCTATTGCAAAATTATTATAACCCTTTGACCTTGAATTTCATGGTTCTCACACACATCAACAACATTGAGAAGACTTACCCGAATTTATAACCTTGATGTGTTCTCTTTGTAGTTTTGATCTCTTAACGTTTTTCCAACTCTTCCTTCCTCCTTTAGGTTTTCTCTAATGGTTGAGAGAAAATTGAACTTTTCTGATTACCATAACACCGTAAAATGAATCAGTGTATTCACCCTTATTTTATAACTACTTTTTCTTCTATCTAAAGAGAGAGAAAAGAGTTTCTTTTTAATTATATTTTTTTTTAATTGTATTTACAATTATACCTAACTAACTCGATTTTTTATAATCAATAAACCATCATGTTAAGTTTTTAATTAAAGTCAAGCCATAAGTTACATGAATCCAAGATCATTCCTTTGATCATTTCTTGATCAATCCAAGATCATTCCTCTTAACCCAAATTGTCAATCATAAACATATTGCCGTCAACCCACTAAACAAATACTATACAACCGATAAAAGCTACACCAGAAGAAAAAAGAATGAAAAGAATTTACATGTTAGTCAAGGAAATGATTCTCCCCTTCTTGTCTGACACCATTTTGGTATAACAAGGACAGAAACATGTTCTAATGCGCAAAACCATTATTGCCATGATGAACCTCAGGTTACAGCAATGCAAAGCCTAAGAAGTCAGAGGCTGATCTACCCATCACAGTGGCAAACTCATTGAAGCTAATCACACCATCACCATCTGTGTCAGCCTCTGTGATCATCTCTGTGAGCTCTCTATATGTAAGGGGTTGACCCATTTTGGCCATTGCCCCTGCTAATTCTGCGGCTGATATATAACCATTTCCATCACGATCAAAGCACTTGAAGATCCCAAGGAGCATCTCTTGGTTCAACAATATCTCTGAACTCATGTAATGCAATATAGCATCCAAAAACTCATCAAACTCCACAAAGCCATTTCCATTTGAATCCATGTTGGCTAACAACACATGGATTTGATCACCCGAGGGTTTGAGCCCCAACGATCGAAGGAGCGCCGCGAGTTCCAAGATGGTTAGGCTGCCATCTGAATCCATGTCAAATCTTGCAAATATTTCCCTCAATTGATCAAGTTGATCAACTTGAAGTTTTGACATGTTATTCTCAATGTAATCAACAAACCAATAATGCAAGAAAGACATGCAATTTATGGGGCAATGTGCTACAAACAAATGTGCCAAAAGAATCAATAGAATTCAATGCAGAAAAGAATTGTAGTGATGTTTAGGAAGAGAGGAGGGAAGATTCTAATTTTAGTATCATGTGATGAGGGTCCTTAGTTTGTTTCGGTTTAGAGGCAACATTTATTTTCTTTTTTTTAGGTGATGGACTAGGAACGAAAAGTGCGTAGGTTCTAGGTGGGTTGATCACATACATGACGATGGAACAGCCTAAGACCTGTAAGGTTTTGAAAGCTTCCATGTCACCCACCATATGCCTATTAGGACACTTATTGACAGGCATTTTCAATTTGTCATCTTACGTTAGTGTTTCTATTTTTGTCTTGGTGTTCTCATAATTGTGGGACCATTCACTATTTCACATTCAGAAAGAAGATGATGTGTCCCCAAAAACAAAATGATGGATAATAATGTTAGTCGCTGTACCTTTTCTCTTTTGTTTGTTTCAAAGATTGTTTTTTATTCAAACAAGTTTTGTCTTTATTATATTCTTAAAACGAGCGTAAAACAAGTTTTCAAAACAACTTTCGAAACTCGTATTAAAAATTGAAAACAGAAAATAATTTCAAACAAGCCCAAGTTTTCCATTGCAATTTCCTTTATTTTTCCTGAAAGTAAAGATTAACATCGTATGATTATAATTTATAATTAAATTTTGTAGCGACATGCTTTCCAAATTAATTATTACAACAATTAACAATTTTCTCCGATACGATAAATCATTAAATTGATTCAATAAAATAAAAAAATATCAGTTTTTTTTTTGTTTCCAAATACATTTAATACGTATTTTAATCAAACATTATTTAATAAAAGAGTTATGAATTTTTATTAAGTACTTTGAGAAGTACGTAGACTACTAATTTATGATAAAGTATAATAAATTACTTTTATATGATTATTTTTAATATATTTTATTTTTAATCATAATTTTATAAAATTGAGAATTATCATTTACCATAATATAAAAATAATTTAATTAAAATGAATTAAAAGTATAAAAATATTTTACATTGTAACAATACATAAGTGAGAATTATTGACAATTTGTAATAACTAATTTAACTAACATTTTGAGATGTATTCTCATCAGTTTGAAGTATAAATTGTTTATATATTTATAAAAATTAATCTCTTAAAAATATATATTATATTCAAAATATTATTTAGAGTAAATTTTTTACTAAAATATAAACTAATAAAAATTTATTTAACATATTAAACGCTTTTGAATCTTATAAAATTTCATAAGAGAAATGTAAGTTTTGCTTTAATTTAATTCTTAAATTTATAAAACACAATAAAATTCTTTTATTTTTCCTTTTGTTATAATATTTATTTATCTTTTCAGTTTCATTACCTGAAAATATTTGTAAGGGTGAGCTTTCTGCGCCCACTAAATTCTCATTTTATAAAATAATCGTAGTACAAAAAATATTTTCTAATATATCTTGTATCACATTAGAAATAATTTATAAAATAATTCTAATTAAACAGACAACATTCACACATATTATTTATCATTGAATCAAATACAACCCATTTTTCTTTTATTTAACATATTCAATTTCTCACTTAATCAATATCTGAGCTCATGCCACTCTTTTCATTTCAAATATGAAATATTCACCAAATAAGAGTAATCTAGGTACTCACGGGCCCCTAAATCGTTGTCAACATACTCTTCCTAATTATGATGGACTTATGTCAGCATGGATAGTCGCCATCAGCCACCACACACGGATACAACTTGTCTTTTATTTGGCATTCATAGCAAAGGTATAGTCAAGAGATCAGTCAGGAAATGAGTGTGAGGCCTTATGAATGCTTTGCTACTAATTGTGTACACATAAGCTATTAGCATTCATCACCCTCATTTCCTCTAGATTTCCCATATCGCCTCCAGACTCTATACCCCTAGTGTATCTCTGAACTATCTATACAATAACTCAATAGTGGTAAAACCAAATTATACTACTTACATCAATCAATATTATTCTAACACATATGTTATAATTACACTAATCAATGTACTACAACATATGTGGTATAGTCTCACCCATTGATATATTATAACAAACACATCATAATCACACAAACTGGTGTGTTTGTAGATCTTGGATGGAAGCATTTACATTCTGTTGGAATTGCAAATTGCTCTTGGGCATTTGTTTGACTAAATCCTCCAATGAAAGCTTAGAATTCTGATGTGTTTGTTGCTGTCTCATTGGGAGTGGTCTGTAGCTGTTACTTGCTTGGCCAGTCTATTGCTACCGTTGCTCAAAGGCACCATATCTCATATTTGGATGATCGTTGAAGGAAAGATTATAAGATTGGTACTGAAACTAGTATGGTTGTTATTGTCTTTGAGGTTGTTGAAAATTCAAAGCTTTGTATTATTCTTATCTTCCACTAAAAACCCTGTACTAGATAAGACAGTACTCGGTCTTACCTATAGAAAAGGGAGCCGAATACCCCCTCGATCAGGTCAAGCCGAGTACCCTCTCAGCTAGCATTAAAGGTAATTAACCCAATTAAAGGTAATAACCAAATCATTAATCCTCTCTAATTAAAGGGCCAAAACCAGGCTGACTCAGCAAGCCCATTAGCCCATAATACTGCCTATAAAAGGAAGGTAGGAAGTACAGGTAAGGGGTTGACTTTTCAATATTAAATAGCATTTATTTCTTAGAACTGAATCCTAATTTCAGCATCGGAGCGCCTTTTGCAGGTACCCTCCCCACGTCAGGCCACGTCAGCAACAGTCAGAAGGACATCATCAATTCAGAGCAGAGATCCGAAGACTAGTGTTTCCCTAGCAGGAACATTTTGGCGCCCATCGTGGGGCACGATTTGTCTCATTTTTTAAGAGTAATCATGGGACTTATAAGAAGCCAGCAAGACAGACAGACTTAGTAAGGCAGAACCTCTCGGTAGTGATGAATCCATATTTTTACTAATATTTTAGTGTATTTCTAACTCATTTGAGAAGGAAAATATATAAGAAAAGCAGAAAAATTCAGAAAAATAGAATGATTGAAGGTTTTCTTTGAATATGTAGTTATTTTAGCATTTGTGAAATTTCTGCTTAGAAATTAAGAATCCAATCTTGTTTTTGTAGGAATAATCTGAGCAAGGTTCATGGAAATGGAAGATCAATGGAAAGGAAGGCAATTCTGGACTCAAAACACAAGAATTATGGAATGCAAGCTGGGCGTGATCACTATTGTTAGTGAAAGTGATCACTCCAGAGTTTAAAGGAGAAGTGGAGTCTGGGCGTGGTCACTCTTACCAGCGAAAGTGAGTGTTCCAGAGAGACTGAATCTCAGCAAACCTCTGCGTGGCCACTCTCGCTAGCGAAAGTGAGTGTTTTAGAGAGATTAAATTTCAGCAAGCTCTGTGTAACCACTTTTACCAGTGAAAGTAGATGTTCCAGAGAGTCTCTCAGAAGTCCCAGACATAGCGAGCTCTACGTAACTACTATTGTTGGCAAAAGTGGATGTTCTAGATAGGAGTGTATCAAGGCAAGATACGTGTGGTCACTCTTGCTATCGAACGTGATCACGTGCAACCACTCGATCTTCTGCGTTGCAACTCTTATCATTAAAAGTGATAGTTCCAGTCTTCCCGAATCACATGAGCCTCTGCGTGGCCACTCTTATGAAGCAAAGTGACAATGCCAAGAGTCAGGAATCTTATAAATACCAAATCAAGCTCAGATTTTGGGGTCTTTTGTTCATTTCCACTTTTTCTGTTAGATTCTCGTTGAGAGAGAGTGAGAGAGAGAGGATTGGGGTTTAATTTCGAAGCTCCAAGAAGAGGCATTGGATTGGAGCTCATGGAGATGGCTTCTCTGAGTTTCTTCTTTTCTTTTCCTTCTTTCTTTTTCTCTGTTGCAATGTGTGCTTAATTCTTCGTAATTAGGAGTTTATGGACCTTGAATTGATGTATTGATTCGATTCTTGCTTCTGAACTTTGAGTTCTTGGATTAATTGAGTTGTTAATTCTGCTTTCTAGGTGATCTTTGAATGGAAATTCAATTGATTAATAACAGAGGAACTTTTGCCAATGGAAATTGGAATTGATTCTCATATATGAATTAACTACCAGAATTGGGGATTTCTTAGGGATAAGTAAACTTAATTCTACAATCTTATGGTTCTAATTCTTAATGCAACTTGAAATTGAACTTCACCTAAGGGATTAGGGTGGTTTAGTTGATTGTTAGGGTCAATGAGTTAAGGGATTAACCTTTGACTATTAATATATGAAACTGACTGTCAATTAACCAAATACTTGAATGTTCAGAGGTATAGTTGAATTGATATTGATATTCTGGTGAAATAAATTCCTAACTATCATTCATCCATTTCTAATCTCAGCATCAAATTCTTTAATCTATTTTACTGCAAGTTTCTTACCTTTCAATTGCTCTTATTCCTTATTTTCTAAATCTTACAACTCTTGCAAATTCTTATAGCTCAACTAGTTATTGTTCTATGAATTGATAATTGATTTTCTAATTCCCTGGGGAGACGATACTCTGATCTTAAAAATTACTCATTACTTGTTGCAATTCCTAGTGCACTTGCTAGTGTTTAGAATTGTAACAACAAGTAGCAGGAGGATACTACACCTAATCAGCCAATTCTTGAAGTTTTAATGGAGGGAGGTGGTGATTGTAACACCTTATGTTTAATTTCAATAAATCATAATTTCATAAATTCAGAATAAAAGAAATTTCATTTCAAATAAGGTTCTTAACCCTTGGTTTCATCAAATATTTTAAAATAAGGAAAGGGGTTACAATCTATATCGTCACTACTACAGGACCCATTCAAATACATTAGTTTCATATTAAAATCCTAGTCCCATAGCAGTTCCATCTGCCCCTTTTACTGAGTCCGGTGCTGATCGTCTTGATTACCTAAAAAATGAATGTAAAGGTGAGTACTCTACACTACTCGAAAACACACAATCAGCGTAGAGTCTCACCTACAGAACATTTTCAATACATTAAATAAACACAATCACAAGCAACATTATCACACAGCTCAGGTCAATTTAATGCCAATGCACTCACGGCATCGGCAACATTTCACATCCATAAGTACAAACATAAACCCATGCATATGCACACCAGCCACACTCACTATGGCACTGTGATCACAGATTTCCATTATGAATGGTCGCCGGTTACCCCCGCCTCACGGATCCCACGTGGGCAGTCACGGGTCACTCAACAAGGATAGTAGTTAGAGGTCTAGTCAGGAAGAGAGTGTGTGGCCCGTGGTGCACCATTTTTGTAACACCTTATATTTCTTTTCTCAATATATAATAAATTTTCATAAAAAGTTAAATAGTAGAGTAAATTTTTCTTTCAAAAACTCTCTAAATAGAAACAGACATGGAAATGACATAAGGTTCATAGAGTAAAATTTCATTAATTCATAAGTACTTTAGAAAAACAAAGATTCTAGAAATTTCATCAGTAATAAAAGAAATAGTAGTTTTACAACTGTTTCAAAAGAACGCTATAGAACTGAAAATATTCATTACATAACTCAAAATAACTAAGTCCTATAGCAGTTCTCATCCATCCATGCACTGTGAGCCTGGTACTATTCAACCTGGTTTCCTGAAAAATGTTGTGTAAGGGTGAGTCTCTACCCTACCACTCATACATAACATATACATTCTTCACAAAACACATCTTATCACGATTAAAGAAAACATCATGGCATTACATATCACAAGGTTATATAAAGCATATTCTCATCTCAACGCGCATTACTTTACACAGATTCACAATTTCTTTTACTTTTATCCGCGCTTACCGCGCCCTGTGGCCACAGTTATCCGATGCCTCTATCTCGAGGTCTTACACATTCATGTAAATAGTCGCCGGATGGCCCAATGCAATACGGATACAACGCATGCAATAGACGGCCCCTTAGCAAAGGTAATGGTCAGGAGTCAAGTCGAGAAATGAGTGTGTGGCCATGTGGTGCATTCGAACACAATATTCTGGAAAAAAAAATATTATGGAATAAATGGGAGACAATAAAACTAAAGATTAAGAAAACATAAAGTAAGGTGAGATTAATTATATAAAAAAAAATAAAAAAATTATACAAATTAATTTATAGTTATTTCATTGGAGGTTGGAGTTCATCGTGGGCCTGATTTCCCTACTGCCATAGGTACAGCTTTGTTAACTTGATAGTGTCCTCCTCTATAATCTCCTTTTCCTATCCATCCTCTGCTACGCCCCGATAACTCCATGTCTATGGCTCTTGCCACATTCATCAACTTGCCCCTTGTCAAAGGGTTCGCAACATGGACACTTCGTACACGTGCTCTCACCTCCTCGCGCAACCCATGGTTGAAATAGGCAAAATATTGCTCGTCATGCAATCGAGGTACCTCGTCAGGGGCTTCACTCTAGAGTCTGGTTTTGCAGAAAATATATCTCAGACCTTAAAGATATGGCCTTCGCAGTTTGTTGTGACTGTTTCCAACCCCCAGATTCTGAGCGTTTCCGGGCAGCGTTTACTGTTTCGACGATATCTCGAGCTACAGGCCGTGTTTCGAGACGATTCTTTTTTTGTTGCGAAGCTCTTTTCTGGGGCTTCACTATGGACTCTGGTTTTGTAGAAAACAGAGCTCGCAGATGAAAGCTATGACCTTCGTAACTTGTTTAACACGGATGCACTTTCAGCCCTGTTTTACTGTTTCAGTGATATCTCTAGCTGCGGGACGCCTCTTCATGCCCACCCTGGTGCCTACCTGGTGC